TATATGTGTGTTTGTATTGTCAGTAAAGTTATATATGTGTGTGTTTGTATTGTCAGTAAAGTTATATATGTGTGTGTGTGTGTGTGTGTGTGTTTGTATTGTCAATAGTTATATATTTGTATGTATGTGTTTACATTGTCAGTAAAGTTATATATTTGTATGTGTGTGTGTTTGTATTGTCAGTAAAGTTATATATGTGTGTGTTTGTATTTTCAGTAAAGTTATATATTTGTATGTGCTTGTTTGTATTGGCAGTAAAGTTATATATGTGTGTGTTGGTATTGTCAGTAAAGTTATATATTTGTATGTGCGTGTTTGTATTGGCAGTAAAGTTATATATGTGTGTGTTTGTATTGTCAATAGTTGTATATTTGTATATGTGTGTTTGTATTGGCAGTAAAGTTATATATTTGTATGTATGTGTGTATATTGTCAGTAAAGTTATATATTTGTATGTGTGTGTTTGTATTGTCAATAGTTATATATTTGTATGTGTGTGTTTGTATTGGCAGTAAAGTTATATATGTGTGTGTTTGTATTGTCAGTTCCTACATATTCGGATATAAGGTGTATATAAGTATATATATATCATTTTTTATTTTACTATGAAATAAATATCATATATCCTGTGGATAATCTAAGTTATTATTTCTACATGTTAAGTTTAAATTCTACAGTAGTACATGTATCTCAGGTGTTCTAAGTCAGGGTATCTTTGTTTTGTTTAATAAGACTTTTTGCATTTACAGACTCGGCAACCAAGCTTTGACTTTTTATCTCATTCTAACCACTTCGGTTCCATTTTGGGATTAGATATTTGTGTACGAAAACCTCTGATAGCTACTTGCTCTACTGACAAATCTATTCACATATGGAATTTTGAAAAAAGGTATAATTTTTCCAGAAAATCTCAGTTTTGTATTTTTAACCCTGCTGTTGAAAACTTTTGCTACCATGTATAATTATAAATGTCATAAATATTTGACTTATTTGGTTTTTCTTTTCACTTTGTTGTTAAAGACATGTTTAACACATTTCTCAAGCTTACAGTTTAGTAAAGACATGAGGATAAAATCATTTCAGCTAATGTTACAGACTTTTGATTCAGGATAATTCATGTATGATGAACAATGATGATAATGTGTATTAATAGCAATACCTAACCTCAGTTAGATTGTCTTCAGTTATGTGATTTTAATTATTGATTAGGATCTGCAGTGGTTCCAAGTATTATGGTTTCTACGTTTCTACTTAAGAGATGTGTATCTTATATCATGAAAGATGCTGTTAACTGTGTAGTTAACTTTGATACGTTGACGCTACAGTTTAGAAGTGTTACTGTAGTTAAGTTACAGTGCTATTCTAACAAGTCAGGCATATAATTAAAAACAGATAATTGTTTGATGTATCGACTCTTAATCTTACTTTTATTATACACAACATCAAGATGGTGGTACTGCATATATGCAACACACTAACTTTGTTGTTGTCAGAAGACAAACCATAAACTAGTTATTTTTCTATTTTCGTGTAATTTACAATAAAATTCATTATACGCAATTAAGATAAAGACATAACAAATACTATGTTTGACCATATTTGACATTCTTTGACCAGTGTATTGGCTGCTTATTTATACTGAAATATCCAACCCTGACTGATGTTTTCTATACTATCATGAAATCTGACGTAGAAGGTGATTTGGATGTATGGTCTAGATTTTCTGACAGGATTCTGTCTGTAGGTTCAAGAATTAATTATCAGGAATCTCTTACCCTAAAGTTTCTGGATTTAGATTATTGTAAAAACAAAGCCTTGACAAATAATTTAGGAATCTCTACCCCACTGTCTTTGGATTTAGATTATTGTACAAACAAAGCCTTGACAAATAATTCAGGAATCTCTACCCCACTGTCTCTGGATTTAGATTATTGTAAAAACAAAGCCTTGACAAATAATTCAGGAATCTCTACCCCACTGTCTCTGGATTTAGATTATTGTAAAAACAAAGCCTTGACAAATAATTCAGCATAATTGGTGAATTATGTAAGTTATAAGGTTTATGATATTTGAATACTATTTTCTGATGCTCATTGATTAAAATATGTATTTGTTGTTATCTCATAGAGGTGTAGAGTTATAATGTTGCAATCTATTTTAAAATGTCGGTGGAGTTCAAGTAAGTGCATATACTATAAAATATTACTATAATTGTTGCTTTCCTCTAAATGTTTTTTACTTACCTTCTCTTACACTTCCCACCCTTCTTCCCCACTTCTCCAGTGCTCACACCTTCTACAGAGGGTATCACATGTGTCACGTGAGCATATCATGCTACTATTGGTTAAGAGATGATGCATGATGATTCACATGAGAGGCATGTTGGAATATAGTAATTCCTCTAGGATGGGGGGGGGGGAGGAAGTGGAAGGCTTATGGAATGCTTAAAGAAAAAGTTCGCATATAGAGGGCAGCACTGAACAAGAATAGTTAATCTTGTGTGTAGAGGTAAGTACCTATCGGAAATGCATTTTCAGTATAGGAAAATTGTTACTTTACTTCTAAGACATTTTTATGTACCAATATAAAATTAAGTCACTAATATGTATAATTAATAACTTACTTAACTTTTGTCTGACTTTCACAGATGTCTTGATGTTCATAAAACATTCCAGGAAGAAGTGTACTGTGTGGCTCTACATCCATCCGGGCTTTTTCTCGTGGCAGGCTTCAAGGACAAACTGCGTGTACTTACAGTTCTAATTGATGATTTGAGAGTCGAAAAAGAGTTCCCAATTAGGAGTTGTAAGGAAGTAAGATTTTTCTATACAGGTTGTATAATGGATGCATAGATTAAAGTTAAATACTCTAATATTTATTGTAGAACTGTTAAATCATTTGTCAAATTATTACTTCAAGTGGAGTCACTGTTGTCTTACAGAACATAGACCTATCTAAGTAACAGAAGTAATACTCATACATATACAGGTAGTATTGGTAACCCATTTATGATAGTTTTTGAGGATATTTTATAATTTGAATTCTATTCCTTCTGGTTTTAGGTACAGTTGAATAGATTTAAAAAATAGTTAGTAATTAAAAAACAATTGCAGAAGAATATAAGCCAAGTTCTGACCTGTAATTCGTCATAGCTTGTTTCACAGTTTATATATGTAGTATTTCCTTTAACCCTTTGGATGCTATAATTGGATTTATCTGATTTGACATTTATAGCTGTTTGGTGCTACAAAAACTTTTCCTCATAGTGTGACAGTCGGGTTACTCACATTTCTTTGTATTTCTAGTCTTAATACTGCATGTGTGCACATCTAAGAGCCAAAGTACAAGTGGTCAGTTTCGATATAAAAAAAGTCTAAAAAAGTCAAATTCACTTTTGAGAACCCACCCAAAATTTAATTGTGTACTCAAAGGGTTAACCATAGAATTTCTGATGGGTGTATAGTCTTCTAAACCATTAATCTACCTAACCACTTGTGAGCCCATGATTTTGTTGTTTATAGAGTCGTCAGTAATAGCATACGAGTCACACAAAGTTTGTAAACAACAATACAGTTAATATCGTTCATTTAATTACTGCTTTTGTTTACTTTTTTTTTACATAAGAAAAATGTTTTTCTCCCTTATTGTCACTTCTTGACATAAGTGTTTCAAAACCTTAAAGTTACTCAGTGTAATGGAATATATCATCATTCACAAGCAGTGAACAGTATATAAACAAGTTGTTAATTCACAAACAGTGAACAGTATATAAACAAGTTGGTAATTCACAAGCAGTGAACAGTATATAAACAAGTTGGTAATTCATCAGCAGTGAACAGTATATAAAGAAGTTGGTAATTCACAAGCAGTGAACAGTATATAAAGAAGTTGGTAATTCACAAGCAGTGAACAGTATATAAAGAAGTTGGTAATTCACAAGCAGTG